ACAAACAGGGTAGTGTGTAAAGCTAAGCAGTTCTCTTGCAATTGGCCTTTTTAAAAAATGACAATTCATCCAGGTGGTGGTGGCGCACGCCTTTGATCCCAACACTCTGGAGGCAGAGGCAGGTGGGTCTCTGAATTCCAATCCAGCCTGGTCTACAGAGCTAGTTCCAGGACAGGCTCTAAAGCAATACAGAGAAACCCTGTCTCAAAAACAAAAAACAAACAAAAAAAGACAATCCAGTGCTGTGGTGGTAGTGCATGTCTTTAATCCCAGCACTCCAGAAGCAGAGTAGTGTGTATCTGTTGATCAAGGTTCAAGGCCAGCGCCAGCCTGATCTACAAAGTAAGTTCCAGAAAAGCCAGGGCTACACAGAGAAACTGTTCCAAAAAACAAAAAATTACAGTAAAGCAAAGAAAAAAGAATGCATAAAGGATTTCTCCCCCCCCCCCCCCAGTTTTTTTGTTTGTATTTTGTTGTTGCTCTTGTCCTTTCCAGACAGGGTTTCTCTCTGTAACAGCCCTGGCTGGCCTTGAACTCACAGAAATCCACCTACCTCTACCTGAGTACGGGGCCTAAAGGCATGCACCACCAACACCCATAGAAATTTCCCCTTTCTTAAGGCTCTATATAGTTCTTCCCCTACCTTCCCTCTTCTGCTGTCTCTTCTGAAGTTATTTTTATGTGTGGGTACTCATGTACATGGTGCTTGTATGGAGGTCAGAGGACAACTTTTAGGAGTCACTTTTCTTTTTCCGCCCCGTGAGTCCTCGGCACCAAAATTAGGTTGTCAAGCTTGGCTATATGTGCCTTTACCCACCTAACCATCCCATTCTTTGTATTTGTGACAGTCTGATATAACCTGGGTTGGCCTTTCTATATAGCCAGAGATTACCTTGAATTTATGATCTCCCTGCCTACTCCAACTCTCAAGTGCTGGGATACAAGAGATACCACCATGACCATCACTGAATCTTCCTGTTCTTCTCTTTAGGAGACAGGGTCTCCTGAACTCAATTTGTAGGCCAATTTCCCCTTAAACTTGAAATGAACCCCTTGCCTCTGCCTCCTAAATGCTGGGATTATAGGAGTATGACACTCCACGTGACTGAACAAAGCATAATTCAACATTGAACTCTGTGGTTTTGTGTTTTTTATTTTGTGCAGTGCTGAGGATCCTACCCAGGGCCTCTTAGGTACTGCCCAAGAATTCTGCCAATGAGCCACATCTCCATGAACACTTCACCATCCACATCATTTATTGTTAGTCATCCTTTTTCTTGGGGGTCCCACGTAACAATAAGACAATGCAAAAGGGTAAAAACTCCGAAGTCAGTAACAGCTTGCCCATGAAGGAAAAGCAAGATGCTATTATCAAAGATAGCCTTTCTCTATGTGTGGTGGTGCACATCTTTAATCCCAGCACTTATGAGGCAGAGGCAGGTGGATCTCTATGAATTGAAGACTAGCCTATTCCACATAGATCAGCCAGGACTATACAGTGAGACCCTGGCAAAATAAAAATAAAAAATAAAAAGCCTCTTGTCACTCTGCAGATGCAATGTTAGATTATACTTACTTAGCTGGGCAGTGGTGGCACACACCTTTAGTCCCAGCACTTGGGAGGCAAAGGCAGGCAAATCTCAGTGAGTTTGACATCAGCCTGGTCTACAGAGTTCCAAGACAGCTAGGGCTGTTACATAGAGAAACCATCTTTGAAAATACAAACACACACACTAACGCCCTGAGCTGAGTCCTAGAACCTGGAGTGGACCTAAAGTAGGGTTGTGTGTGGCCTTTTTCCCCACTAAGCCATTAAGAAATCTTTTCCTTTTGGATTCTGCTTGATTTTAGATTCTGCTTGACACACCTGGCATCATCAGTCCTGTTAAACAGAAAAGGTATTAGCTTCGGGAACAGATGCTGGGTTGGAGAGGGTGGGGGGGTATGATAAAAAAGAGAAGGGGATATTCCTTCCTAGGAGCTGGAAGTTTTCTGGGCGTTGGTGGCGCATGCCTTTAATCCCAGCACTCGGGAGGCAGAGGCAGGCTCCAAAGCAATACAGAGAAACCCTGTTTCAAAAAAACAAACAAAGAATCTATCTAATCATTGGACTGTTCCTGACTGGTTAAGTATCCTTTAGGCACCACCTGGAGCTGTCTTTGCTGGAAGATCCCTGGAAGAGCATGGAATCTGCTGATCTTGGTTAGGTTCAAATTAAATATCTGAAACCCAATTTTCTGAGCTTTTCACTCCTGGGAGTTTGGGAAATGGGGTCTGGGAGAACCCATAACCTGGAACTTGTTATGGGTCAGGAAGAAAGTCATGGTCTTTTTTGTCTGCCCTGCGTCTTCTAGTTGTAGTTCTTGTGGATGTGTCAGACAAGTGGACCAGGAGCCAGCTAAGCCCCCAGGTGTTGAAGTGCTTGACCCACTTCTCCCAGGTCCCTAGCATCCTCGTCCTGAACAAGGTGAGTACTGCCCACCTGAGGAGTCTTCCTCCCAAGGTCCCATCTCTTTCACCATGTGCTTTGCTCATCTTCTGTGTCCAGGTAGATTGTCTCAAGCAGAAGTCAGTTCTCCTGGAGCTGACAGCCACCCTCACTGATGGTGTGGTCAATGGCAAGAAGCTCAATATCAAGCAGGCCTTGAACTCACGACGCCTTGGCACACACTGCCCTAACCCTGCAGAGAAGGACCCAGATACATACTCAGTGAAAAACCCTCAGAGAATTGGCTGGCCCAACTTCCAGGAGATCTTCATGTTATCAGCACTGAACAACAAGGATGTGAACACACTAAAGGTCAGTTAGCCTTGCTCATAGCCCATCATTTCTGCCATGTTTAGATAAGCCACACTCAGACCAGCCTGACTATAGACTAAGATCCTATCTTTTAAAAGACAAATGAAAAATCTGGCTATGGTAACTTATACTTGTAATCCCAGTACTTGGGAGGCCAACGCGGGAAGATAAGGAGTTGAAGGTCATTTTCAACTACCCAGTGAATTCAAGAAGAGCTTCTGTTACAATGAGAACCTGTCTCATAAAACCAAAACCAGCTAGCTGTGGTGACACACACCTGTTATCCCAGCACTCAGGAGGCAGAGGCAGAATGATTACTTGGTTTGAGGCTAACCTGGTATCCATTATGAGTTGTAGGTCAGCCAGGCTGCATAAGGAGAACAGAGATAAACAGGAATGTATCTCAGTGGGTAGAATGATTGCCTGATGTGTGAGAGATGCTGGATTCAATCTCTAGCAACACATAAACTAGACATGGTGGTGCACATGTCTAATTCTAGCATGTAGGAGGCAGAGACAGGAAGATTGAAAGTTCAAGTCCAGCCTGAACAAATTAGGGTATAAAAGGCCAGCTTGATCTGCATGAAACCCTGTTTTTTAAAAAAGGGCATTAGAGTCAGTGATGCTAGCTCACTTGGATAGTCCCAGGGCTTGTCAGGCTAAAGTAGGGTCAAGAGTTTAACAGCTTTTGCTACTACATAGCATTTAAGGTCAGCTTGGGGGACGCATGAGATCATGTCATAAACAAAAAGTATGCATAACATAAATATGGGAGTACTGATGGGGCTTAAGATTCCTCTTTCCTTTTTACCCACAGCAATACCTTCTGGCACAGGCCCAGCCAGGACCCTGGGAGTTCCACAGTGGAGTCCTCACTAGTCAGACACCTGAAGAGATCTGCACCAATAAAATCCGAGAAAAGCTCCTGGAGTACCTGCCTGAGGAGGTGCCCTACAATGTGCATCAGGTGTGAACAGAGTGAAAGGACCTAGGGCCTGTACCAGGCACACACCTGGCACAGTTGGGTACCACAAGATATAGAGATGAGCCTGCCTAACTAGTCATGATGTCTCCTTATACAGAAGACAGTGATGTGGGAGGAAGGACCAAGTGGGGAGCTAGTGATCCAGCAGAACCTTCTGGTGCCCAAAGAGTCTCATGTGGTAAGTGAGGGCAAGCTCAGAGAAGGGTAGCAGCAGTATTAACTAGGGGTTCTTTGCCCTGTCTGTGGCCAGGGAGCAGAACCATGTGCCACTTGTCACCACTTGCAGCGGATCCTGATTGGTCAGAAGGGCCTCTTGATCGCTCAGATTGCACAGGAAGTGGGCCGAGACCTCATGGACATCTTTCTCTGTGATGTTCGCATCCGCCTCTCTGTGAAACTTCTCAAATGACCATCCTCTGTTGCTACTGCTAGAGCATCCCTGCTCCACTGGGGCAGTGACTGACTGGGACTACCCCTGTCAAAGGGACCTGTAGGGCTGGTAAGGGCGTGGACACTGGCTGGCTGCTAGCCAGTCTGGCCTTGTTGAGTCTGCACAGTGCCTGCCCAACCATGTTTTCCACCGGAGGAAAGAAGCTGCCTTAGCTCTGTTTTCAGGTAGGGTCTCAGCTGTGGTCTTAGACTCTGTCCCTGGTGTGAGTAGGCTTACTTATCCCAAGCCTGCTAGCGTTGGACCCACTCTTGCCCAGTTCCCTTCAACCCCAAGTTCTTCACCTTGAAGTTACATAAGGACCTGTCTTTCCTTCTTTCTCCTCTCTCTCCCACCCCCTTTCTTTTGAGACAAGGTTCTCACCATACAACTCTGGCTGTTGCTATGCATACCAGGCTAGCTTTGAACTCACAGAGATCCACCTGTCTGCCATGAAAGTGATGGCATTAAAGGCGTGCACCACTACCGCCCGTCTCAACCTGTTTTTTATTTGTGTGTATTGTTTTTGAGACAGGGTTCCTCTGTCTAACCTTTAACGCCTGTCCTGGCACTCACTCTATAGACTAGGATGGCCTCAAACTCACAGAAATCCACCTGCCTTTGCCTCCCGAGTGCTGGAATTTAAAGGCGTGCACCACCACCACCAACTAGCTAAACCTGTGTTACTTAAATGAGATAGTGCCTACCACCTGTTCACCCAAGTCCTTGATCCTCCCACCCCATCCTGCCACCCAACCTTGTATGCTAATAAAATTAAATGACAAATGTTCTTATTCTTATCTTTATTTCTTTAAAACAGGGAAGAGAAAAATGCACCCATGCCCCTGCCCCATTCTCTTGTCAGCCTGGAGTCTTTTCTTCCAGGAGTCTGCTCCAGGATCATGAGCTCTTCTTGGCACAGTTTCTGGGAGCAGCAAGAGAACCGTTACCATTACTAAACTCAGTAATGGTAACGGTTTCCTCGCCATCCCCAAGTGCCACAGCAGTCAGTAGGCTTCATAGGCTGAGCAGTCAGCCCCATGGGCTCTAGCATTCTGCCCTCCCAGGCAGGGTCTAGAGCTGGGGGGGAGGGGTACCCAGACTAGTACATCATCTATACTGTAGTGTCTCATCACAAACTTACAGTATATGATGATATCCCAGCCAAGGCCCTGGATGAGAGAGCTGTGGGTATGGAGAGCCAGGGCATTGGGGCAGGGTCATTCAGGGCTGAACACACACATACCTCCTTGCTCCTCCACTCCCTCCCAGAGCAGCATCTCCTTGATTCTGTGGTTCAGGGTAACCCAGGAAGAAGCTAAGGTCTATTCAGATATCTTAGGAATGCAGAGTCACAGCCAGAAACTAACAATGAGGCAGAAGGCTCCCTCTGGGCAGACCTATAAGCGGCTGACAGCCATCCAAGGAGTACATGCTTACCTGGAGCTGGAGCTGCAGTCTGAGAAGCCTTTAGACTGGGCAGCCTGTCTCCTCTCTTCTTTGCTCAAGTGGCTTGACTTATAACCCTCTGGCTCCTCCCCTGGGTGGAGTACTTTTCCCGGGCTCTACAAGTCCCTGCTTCTTAACTCTTCCCCTGCTGGCTTCATGAAACAAGTCACTGGTTCATTTCCCTTTTTGTTGGGTTTGTTATCTGTTTCTTTTTTGTGCTGGGGCTGAAGCTTAGGGTCCAATGCATGCTAGCTAAGAACCCTATCACTGGGACTACACCTCCATCCTGCCTCTATTTATTTGTTTTTATTATTTTTTTTCTTTTCAAGACAGCATTTCTCTGTGCAACAATTCTGGCTGTCCTGGAACTCACTTTGTAGACCAGGCTGGCCTCAAACTACTCACAGAGATCCACTTCTACCTGCTAAATGCTGGGATTATGTGTGTGCACCACCACCGCCCAATTGCCTCCATTCTTTTAAATGGGTGACTTTCACCCCCACCCCATGAAGTTGATTACCTGCCCACTTCTAGGAGGTTGAAAAGTCCCCATCCTACGCATCCTTCAGGGCTTAGGTGTCTGCTGGAACCCTGCTGAAAGGCTTTGCTTTCTGGGTGATGGTTGGGAATGTTGAATTTGTGTAGGACAGGAAAGGTCCTGGCAGCTGAATCTGTATAGATTCTACCTGGGGGCAAGCTCAGTGGACCCATCAGCCTAAATTTGCATTTCTAGTATTTGACTATTTTTGTTGAGCCCAAGACTCTAGAACTAGATGAGCAGAGTCAAAACTTGCCAGCCACTATTCTGGCAAGGCCCCCTGGGTCAATGTCACTCTGCTGGGAGACTGAAGGGAGCCTGAGGCCCCAGCTCTTGTGGGAGCCAGAGTAAGGGCCTGGGGGTCAATTCTTCACAGCCCAAGACACAGTGAGAGCCTGGCACTATTTGAGTCTCTCCCTGTGGGGAAGGGGAGACTCCCAGAGCTGAGCCTCTGCTATTTAGACCCTCACTCTGGGGGATGTTCCGCCCATTTTTCTTATCCTAGACAGCCTGGTCTGTATTCTCCTTTGCAGGTACAGATTACATTAGGATGGGGTGGGTTGGAAGGAGAGACCTAACCATTTGGATTTTTGGAGGTATTCTGTTACCTGCCAAGAAACAGGCATGTGCCCTACCTCAGCAATGCATGCTTCCCTCATCTGGTTAGCATTAGTTTCTCTTCAAGTCTGTAAGAGTTATAGTATATGATCACCTTCTCTGTCTATTCTTTCCTTTTCTTTTTTGGTTTTTAAGACAGAGTTTCTTTTTTTTGTTTGTTTATTTGTTTGTTTCTCAAGACAGGGTTTCTCTGTATTGCTTTGGAGCCTGTCCTGGAACTAGTTCTGTAGACCAGGCTAGTCTCAAAATCACAGAGATCCGCCTGCCTGTGCCTCCCGAGTGCTGGGATTAAAGTCATGTGCCACCAACACCCTGCAGAGGCAGAGTTTCTTTGGGTAACAGCTTTAGCTGTCCTGGAACTTGATTTTTAGACCAGACTGGACTCGAACTCAGATATCTGCCTGCCTCTGCCTCTTGAGTGCTGGGCTTAAAGGCATGTACCACCACTGCCTGGCTGTTTATTCATTTTTATTTATTTATTTGTTTGTTTGTTTGTTTTTGAGACAGGGTTTTTCTCTGGTTTTGGAGGCAGTCCTAGAACTAACTAGCTCTGTAGACCAGGCTGACCTCAAACTCAGAGATCGGCCTGCCTCTGCCTCCAAGTGCCAGGACTAAAGGTGTGCATCACTGCCCAGCTTAATTTAATGTTTCAGACACAACCTTATGTAAGTATGGATGACAATGCTTTTCTTGTTGTTATTGCTCTTTTGTTGTTTATTTTGAGGCAGGGTCTTAGTGTGTAGTCCTGACTGGCCTGGAACTCTATATAGACCAGGCTGCCCTGGAACTCAGAAATCTGCCAGTTCTGCCTCCTGAGTGTTTGGGTTAAAAGCATGCTCTATAATGCCTTGCTCTTAATATTATTGAAATAGTCTCATGTAACCCTAAATTTCATTTGTGACTGAGGATGACATTGAATGTTGGAGCCTCCTGTCTCTACTGAGTGCAAGGGCTGCAGGCATTCACTTGGCCAGTTCTATTCAGTGCTGAGATGAACCCATAACCTTATGTATGCAAGGCAAGCACTGCCTCTAACCCTCTACCCCTCTTCTTATTTTCTATTTTGAGTTGTCCAGACTATCATTTTAGCTCACTGTATATACAGTTCAGGCGGGTCTTGATTTTTCAATCCTCCTGCCTCAGCCTCCCAGGTAACTGGAATTACAGGCCTTTGCTTCAGGCCCTCTTTGATAAAGTACACAGAACAGATGCTAGCCACAGGAGTTTAAATAAGTAATACCCAAGTCTGCTCTGCTCCTTCCCACAGAGGACCCGCAGAAGATCACAGGAAAGGTATCTGAAATTCTTCCTTCTTCCTTTCCTCTCTCCCTCCCTCCCTTCTTCCTTTTTCCTTTCTTTGCATCTAAGTCTGTCCTGGAATTCCCTATGTAACCCTGCTTTCACTTGATGAAGTATAGGTAGGCATCTGCCTCCACCCCTGGCTCCCATGGAATGTTCTTGAAAACACGTTGGAACCACTGAGATTGCCTAGGTTTAGCAGTAACAGTCACAGCTCACTGCATGTGGCTGGCTCCAGGACTTAGGACCAAATTCAGTCTCCATTTCCTCAACTGTAAGGAGGGAGCTTTTGATGCTCACCTTGTGACTGTGAGGATCAGCACACTGGGATGCTGCAGTCTGCTCCCCTCTTCCCCTCCGTCTCACTAGCTATGTAGCTGCTGGCAAGTTGCTCTTCTCTGAGGTTCAAGGCTGCTTCATGCTCCACCATGTGAGAATCAACTGAGAAATACATAGGCGAGAAAATGTCACCACCGGTGCTCTAGCCTTGTCAGCCCCTGCCTCCCTGTGACCCCCTTTCCTTTATTGTAACCCTCCCAAGGCCACCTCTACTCTAGGACCCACTGACAGCCAAGCTTCTTTACAGAGCAAAGGCTTCCTACATCAGGACCATGCTCCATGCCACCCACCCCAATGCTGAGACCCAGTCCCAGGGTGAATTTGAAAGCCGTGAGGGGTCCTGGAAGTAGAGAACAGAGATATCTCTGCCAGCCAGAGATTCTGTGGCTGTGGCCTCTAACTATGGGTGGGTGTTTCTGTGATCAGGGTGTGTGACTAGAACAGAGCCTGGGCATAGGTGAGATAGCCTGGGCTCCCTGATAAGCTGGCCATGCTATCAGAGTAGAGGCCTAGCACCTGCTTATCATGCTTGCAGAGGTCAGAGTGAGACCTGGGGCCCGCTCTCCCCACCCAAGTCTGTCTTCCCTGCTGCTCATTTCTCTCCCTCCCTGGGCCCCCACAGGGAACTGGAATGGAACCCCTCTCTTACTGGAAGTCACATAGTAACTCTGGCAAGCATGGGGAGGGAAATACCACGGGATTCTTTGGGCCTGTCACCATTCTATCCGCTTTTGTTTCAGAGCTAGAGCTTCATGTCCTTCCCGAGGCTGCTGTGAGCCAGACCCTTCTCTTGACACGTAGCTCTGCCCCTGCCCCTGCAGCCTTAAGCACTTCACTCTTATTTAGATTTGTTCAAAAGTCTTTATACTAAGCTAGGCATGGTGGTGCAAGGCTGTTGCTCCAGCACTTGAGAGGTGGAGGCAGGAGGATCAGAGGCAGTTTGAAAGTAGAGTAGGCTGAGCATGGTGGCATATGCCTGTGTTCCCAGCACTAGGAATGCTAAATTGAGTAGATTGCCACAAGCTCAAGGTCAGAAATGTATACATAGTTATTTCTAGACCAACCATTGCTGTATAACAAGGCCCTGTCCAAAAAAATAGCATGACTGAAGCCTTGGATTATGGTCTGAGGTTCTGGGGTATAGCTGAATGGTAGAATACAGTAGCATGTGCAAGGCCTTCAGTACTATCTGAATAAACAAATCAGAGCCTATGGTGGTGGCACACATGCCTTTAGTCCTAGCACTCAGTAGGCAGAGGGAGAGGCAGGAAGATCTTTGTGAGTTTGAGACCAGCCTGGTCTATAAGAGCTAGTTCCAGGACAGCCTCCAAAGCCAGAGAAACCCTGTCTCAAAAAAATCAAAAAGTAAAAACAAAATAGTGTGAGTAAAATTAAAAACTGTCAAATCCAGAGATTTATTCTTCAGCTAAGCTGAGGACTGGACAGCCCTTTTAGCCTGAGATAGAGGTACCTTGATGACACCTTGGATGGCCTGGTAGTGACTCACTGTACACTCTCAGTATCAGAGTGGCACCATCTTTCTGAGTCCCCATGTGTCAGTTAGTTGCAGCAACTTAATTTGGAAAATGTCAGCTTGACTGATTCAAATCCAGAACACCTGACACTCATCCTCCAACAAGGGCTGCAGCTGATTGGCAGTGGCTAGAAGACATGACTCCGCTTGTACCTTGCCTGGGGCAGGTAGGAGAAGCCTTCACATGCTCATGGTAGAGGGAATCAGGGAGTTCCTCAGTTTCAGTGCTGCTGTGGAGCTGGAAGAGGAGTGCATACGAACATTGCTTTCTCAGTTCTCCAAACTCTTTCTCTAGAATCTCTATGCAAATGATGTCTGCAGAGTGGTTAAAGTCAGCCACTCTCTCTGATAATGAACTCTATGACTGGCCTGAAGCACCTTCTGCACCACACAGCCAAAAACTAAACTGGTCAGGCCGACCCAGGAGGTATACCCTGTCTCTCTGGTGAAGTGCTTGTAGACAGGTATCTCCATCTTTGTCCTGAGCTTCTGTATAGAGTCAGGGCTAAAAGGCAGCCCAAGACAACTCTTTTGATACAATTTACCTTCCATGGATGTTGTGTTTATTACCTGGAGGCAAGGCTTGTGCTTTTGCTGGCATTAAATATGGGAAGTTTGCTTCTAGTACTGAAAAACTGAAGCCTGCTGTGAATATACACTGCTGACGTGAGCATGGACACATGCAGGACCCCAGAGCCTGAGA